CGCGGCGCGGCGCGACCATACGACGGAAAGAAAAAAAAACGAAAAAAAAAAAAAAAAAGTGATGTTTTTTTTGCCCATTTGAACTTGGACTACGAGGATGTTGCCAGTAAGTGTTTTTCTTGCCTATCTGAACTACGAGGACGTTCATGTTGCCATGACGTGTTTTACCTGCCCATTTTGAACTAAAAGTGTGACTCCGGAGCAGTTTCCTCAAAAATAAAATAAAAAACTGCTCCCTCTCTTTCGAGGCCGTGACGCCCTTCGTGGACGTGCTGCCACCACACACCCAAACGAAACACATGCAAAATATTTTGGCAGGCACAACAATGTCTGAAACTGGTGGGATCTCAAAACTACACTGTACCTGGGCTGTTGTGTAGTGGTGCGATCAGACCCTAAGTGTGAGTATGCCCACAATCACTCAAAAATTTTAAACACCATCTCCTGAGCCGGCGCAACTCATCTTCCTCAGAAGAGCATACGGTGATTATCGCTATATCTAGACTGAAAGTTGTACCAAATACTGCCATAATGACCGTACGTTCTATTTGGGAGAAGAGGGCCTGCCGGCACCAATTCAGAGGCAGTCTAAGATGCACCATCAGCCACCGGCCCACCGCCTAACAGTACACTCACGGTACCATCATCCACATGACCTCAAAAGAGTAAATGCAAATAAGCTCTGCGAATCCAATCTTAGGGCATACTCACACTTGGTCTAGTGCTTTCCTTAACCCCTACCCCTACCCCTACCGACCCTATAATCATGGATGCCGGCCAAATAAACGCCGGCTACGGATCACCTCAAGCCTCAAGAACTCAAAGGAGTCAAAGCAAATAAGCTCTGCAAATCAATCTTAGGGCATACTCAGACTCATACTTTCCTAAACGTATCAATTGCGGCCCAACTTGTATCAATGTGACCACAATAACGTTTAGAGCCGAGCAGAAAAAGTCCTAGACTAAGAGTTTGCCCGTACCCTATCCCGACCGACCCTATGGATGTCGGCCGAAAAAGTGCGGCTACGAATCACCTCAAGGACTCAAAGCACATAAGCTCTGCGGATCCAATCTTCAGGCATACTCTCAATTTCTCAAAGACTCAAACTAGTACTTTCTTGAATGCATCTGCACGCAATTATGGCACAACCTCGATGAATGCGAGAGCGATTAAGTCTAGAGCCAGGCAAAGAAGTCATGGTGTGAATATGCCCTTACTCATTAAGTTATGCCACCGACAAAAGAAGTCCTGGTGTGAATATGCCCTTATTCTATGCTACCTACCCTGGGGATGTCGGCCGAAAAACAGCCGGCGGCTGCGAATCAAGTCTACCCCAGTGACCCCACCCTATCCTATTACCCCATTGATCTCGGACGAAAGATGACCGGCACGGGGTTTTCCGGGAAGATAACGAGTCCATCCTGCTCAGTAAGGTCCAGGTCTTCTGGCTTAATGTCTTATACACATCTAGATGTGTATAAGAGACAGACCCTACCCTATTACCCCATTGATCTCGGACGAAAGATGACCGGCACAGGGTTTTCCGGGAAGATAACGAGTCCATCCTGCTCAGTAAGGTCCAGGTCTTCTGGCTTAATGTCATGTGGCAACATAACATCAAATCGCTGCAGCAACCTGGACACAACAAATCGCACAGTGGTCAGTGCGAGCCGAATTCCGGGGCAAATTCTTCGTCCCGATCCAAATGGGAAGAACTCAAAGTTCTTTCCATCAGGATGCATGTCGTCAGCCAGCAGTCCGTCTCGGATGAACCGCTCAGGGCGGAACTCCCATGGCTCCGACCACACCTTAGGGTCGTGCATAATAGCCCAGACATTGACAAGGACCGTGGTGCCTGCCGGCACATCATATCCAAACACTACGGCGTCTTTCATAGCTTGATGGGGAAGGAGCATGGGAGAGACGCTGTGCATACGCAGCGTCTCATACAGAAAGGCATTGAGGTAAGGAAGATTCTCCAGATCATTCTCCGATGGAACCTTGTGCATTCCTATGGCCTCATCTAGCTCTGCCTTCAGCAGCGCCAACTTCTCTGGGTGGCGCAGCAACTCCATCAGAGCAAAAACAGTCGTAGAGGTCGTCGTGTCCGTGCCAGCTGCCACGAGGCCCATTAACAGCAGGCAGGTCTCCGTCTCGCCGTACACCACATCGTTGTCCTTCATTGTAGAAGCCACCAAGTTCTTGGGCGTGCTCATTCCCGAAGGAGACAGGTTATTGAAGACCGTGTCCACCATTGCATCCGGATTAATGAGTCCAGCTTCTCTCAGTGCTGCTCGGTGGTGATCGAGCGTTGTGCAACTGCTTCCGCTGTTGCCAGCGACATTCCGTTGGAATTTGCGCCGCTTTTCAATGAGCTCCAGGGTCAAGGCGCGAAATCTATTTGACACCCCTCGCACATACTGGAGATTACCCCTCTAGAAGAACCACAAACTCGGGACAAAGTCCGGTATCTGTACCATCCCCACCATCTGCATCATTGACAGCACCACATCATAAAAACCTTTTGCCATTTGGTCATCCTTGACATCATTGCCTGATTTGCCTCCCTCCATAGTGTGAAGCGACGCTTCTTTGCTCATGATTCTCCTAGTTGCATCATCTTCAAGACCATCCTCAGGCTCCTGCGCTCTCATCGGCATCGTCATCGTTGACGTCGAACTGCCGCTGGTAGCAATGGCTTTTGCCATGTGATGCTGCATGGCAGGCGACACAGGAGAGCCGAATATGACATAGGTCAACGTGTCCAGAGCGAAGTGGAACAGGTTTTCTCGCAAGTGGACTGGCTGCAGCCCATGCATGGTGCCTGCTGCTCCACTGGGACCCCACTCATTCCCAGCAGGATGGCAGATTCCGCCTGCTGCTACCTGCCTGTCTTTGTGGCTCGTCTCGACGTTGGTTGTTGCACCGACATGCACGGCGGTGGCCGGATTGGGCAAAGAGGAGGAGGTTGTTTCTGTCAGCAGGGGGGCCGCGGCAGGTGATAGACCATTCCCCTCCTGGGCCGCCTCCTTTGTTCCGACATTTCTAAGACTTCCTTCCTGCTTCTGTGCTCCTCCTTGGCCTTTCCTCAACAGCTCCTCCTCTAGGAAATTGGTGAGCTTCCGTCGGATTGCATCCACCTGCGCCATCCTCCTTGGGGAGAAGAACTGCACACTGGCAATCTTCGTTTGCTTCCGCCACAGAGGCCCGTATGGTGCAAGGCCGAGGCTTCGGCCACCATGTGACCATGCATCGGCCGTTGGCGGCAGCGGTCGTGAGGCAAAAGTGGTTCCCTGAGTGAGCAGGACCTCTTTTGCGGCCGCCGGGCTGGACACCACCAGCGTAAGGGCCGTGCCCATGTGAATGGTCATCAACTCTCCATACTGCTCTGCCATCTTGGCCAGGACTCTATGGGGATGCCTTTGCAGTTGAAGCAGGTTGCCTACAATCGGCCATGGAGCAGGCCCGGGGGCCAGACGAAGTTTGCGTCCACGGCAGTCCTTCGCCCCAGCAATGATCCATTTAGCCACTAGCCAAGAAAGCGAACTGGCAGTCAAGACACAGACCAGCATTGTGAGGATCAGTGAACCCAATGGAATCAACGCAAGATGAGACCTGAGATCATCCACTGAGAGCCATGGACAACAAGCAATCATGCCCCGCATCCAGACACTCTCTACAGTCAATTTGCCACTCATGTCCTCTGCTTAACTGCAGACATCGGCCCCCATCCTTGCCGCCTCCTTGAAATCTTAAACGTCTTTTCCTCCGTCAAAACCCTACTTCCTTCTTTGCTACCTACCACCTCCTTCCCCTGGGGCCAGAATCAAGATCCTCCGCTCACGTTCTCCTGGTCCCTGGTCCACTCTGGAATCCTCCGGGTCCCTGGTCCACTCTGAAATTCTCCTTGTCCCTGCTCTGGAATTCTCCTGGTCCCTGGTTCCACCTGCAGTTCTCAGATCATACGGTTCCACTTCAAGTTGGGAATTGGCGGAGCTAAGGCAGTCTGTCCCTGGCTCACTCTGGAATCCTCACGGTCCCTGGTCCACTCTGGAATTCTCCTGGTCCCTGGTCCATATTCCCTGGTCCCAGTCTGCAATTCTCAGAACACAAGGTTCCACTTGGGAATTGGCGTAGCTTAGTCAGTCACCTGTCATCCGACTCATCCGTGACAGATTGAAACACAAACGAGCACAGTGGACCCATATGAGCAGGGAGGGAACAACAGCGTAAGAACGGTATCCTTGATTCTATTGACCAATGACCAGTCAGGAAGAGGAGCCCCCACCCCCGCAGATAGGACAGGCACGCTGAGGATGACGTGGATGTTCACAAGGATAACCAACGAGAGCTGCGCCAGCGCTACACAGCATTCAGCAGGACGGCTAGCACGGACCATCCCGTCAAAACAGTCCTGACAAAGGTCCAAGGACATGATGTCGACGTGTCAAAAAAACAGCAGGACGTTCATCATAGTGCGGGCCATCATGCAGTCCTGATAGCGTCCTTGCGCACAAAAGGGTCAATGAATATCTGGGTGATAGGGATGTGTACAATGAGGAAATGTTGGACACCCTTCGGTGCAGACGAAGGTGGCTGCAATGGATTGACAATAGTGACAAATCCAAGGTGTGTCATGGCAACTTTGCATGCAATGCCATGAGATATTGACCGTGATTGCTGTCAGATTCATCGAGCGGCGGCCAACACGGCCCAACAGATATTTGCAATGCATCAGATTCATGATTGCGCTCACATTCATCGAGCGAAACGCAAGTGTGCGTGCAACCGTGTCATGGCAACTTTGCATGCCATGCCATGAGATACTGACCGTCGATTGCGGTCAGATTCATCGAGCAGCGGCCAAGAGATATTTGCAATGCCTCAGATTCATGATTGCGTTCAGGTTCGTCGAGCGAAACGCAAGTACGTGCAACGTCCGTTTGCATGCAATGCCTCGAGATGTTGACCGTCTACTGCTCTGACCAAGCGGAAAGAGAAAGGCCGAGGTAATAAGAACGATGAACAAAAAAGACCGAAGAGAAGCGCAAAGACGTCAACCTCGAAGGTGTGTCACGTGGGCGAATGATAAAGAGACGGGCACATACGTTTAAAGGGTCAAGGGGCAACATGCATGCATGCATGCATGGGACGTCGACCGTCAATCGCTGACTAAACAGAAGAACGACCGTCAATTATTGCTAACCAAAAAGAAGAAACGACCGTCAATTGATGGCCAAACAGAAGAACGACCTTACAAAACAGAAGAACGACCGTCTATTAATGACCAAAACAGAACGGCCGGTACGTGCAACTAGTCAAGGGGCAACATGCATCGATCGCCAATTGCTGAGCAAAAAGAAGAAGGGTTAATTTCAGAAATATTGCTGTTTCGACGTTTGGCAGCAAAAATGCTGTCCGTTCGAAGTTTCCTTTGCAAAAATAGAGGTTTTTTTGCAGCTTCATCGCGTTCCGGTAGTTTGCCAGCAAAAATAAAAATACCGCATTTTGCCAAGTTTCACAGCAAAGGACCCCTAGACCCCTGGCCTCAGGGACTCAGGGACTCAGCGTTCTGGGGCCAAGTTTCACAGCAAAGGACCCCTAGGCCCCTGGCCTCAGGGACTCAGGGACTTGGGGACTCAGCGTTCTGGCGTCAGGC